TCATAAAATACTGAGGTGGTTGAACTGCTCTCATAAGCATAGCCTTGCGAACCCAAGCCATATACCCTCCCCCTCTGCCTTCCTCCAACAACATCTGACCATGTATGATACTCAGAATACTGGGTCGATCCTGAACCAGTGGACTGACGACTTTTCCGAGCTCGTACAAAATCATCCTGAGAGTTTAAATCCATAAAATATTTTGATATTAGAATGAGTTTTATTATAATAAATTTATATTCCCAAACTCCAAAAAATTATACTCATATGAGCCTTTTTAGCCTTCTCATCAACCCACTGATGGTCAGCTTGATGTTGGTGAGTTTTCGTATGCAACTCCAGCGGTGTCGGCTCCCGGCCAAGAAACTTTTTCTGAAAATAGAAGATATATTTATAATAATGTAAATATATTTATTAAACTAAATTAAAGCTTTTACCAGTCGTCATCTATATTCCGTATGAGGAACATATCCGGCAATTTGAAGAGAGCTTCCTAAACCCCCACAGTCAGATGCTCTATTATGCTTATTCTGCTCTCTTATTTTTATGAACTCGAGGCTCACCCAAGCTCTACTCAGATCTGCCCATACGCCCTCTCCAATCCATATTGGACGCTGCCCGGACTTTCTAATGTCCGTGAACATGTCCCTAAGACGGGTCGATCCTCTCCTCTCAAAATTTGTTCTGATCCTCGTTTTATGCTCAGGCAACCACCTAAATTCTTTATGTAAAAAAGTATATGCATAACAAAAAATAGTAATACAAATTAAATCAAATATTTGAATTCATGCCAAATAAGTATATCTGAAATTATCCAAACCACATATCCCTAATTTCCTTTGGGATCTTCTTCCATGATAAGTAAAGAGTATCATATTTGTTCTTTATGATATCCCAAATCTTGTGAGTATATGGCCTTGAAGGATTGAAGTTGCAAGTTAATTTTTTTGTCAATAACATATAATATATCAAAATTTAAGAAACGTAAGAACATAAACTAAACTTACGTATCGTCCTCAGGCTCAATATATTGACGCTTATATGCTGCAGCTGCATGATCACCAGCACCAACCTCTGTTGGTCTAGATGGTCCACCGTGTTCTGGCTGTACCGGATATGGGTAATAATATGGGTGAGGGTAAGGAGGGTAAGGGACGGTGGATGGACCAGTTTGTCGGCGGTTGGAGGAGCTTCTCTATCACGCGAGAGGGCTGCGGAGACAGAGCGACTGTTGGAAGGGAGAGAGAAGAAGTTGCGAGCAAATGAAATGGAAGGCTGGGGATGTGTTATTTTAGGTCTTTTTCCGGCGGCGTTCTGGCGGTTAGGACCGCCGAAAAAAAATCACTTAACACCGGCGGTTTAAACCGCTGGTAACATGACAATAATAACTACTGCATGAAGAATAACCGACGGTTATTTAACCGCCGCTAATTTCGGCGGCAGTTTTTTAAAAAACCACCGATTAGACCGTCGGTATTTATCGACAGCCAAACCGCCGGTTAAACCACCGTTATTACTTGCGGTCACAGAACCGCCGGTAATTCATGAATTTCTTGTAGTGATTGTTTTATAACACTCCAGCAATCTACACTAATATACAAATAAGCACACTGCTCTACATGAAGTAAGGATAAAAGATCTGCAATGCATACAAGTTCTCTACGAAGACAGATGTACATGCTACATGCCATTTATGGGTAGATGCAGAAAGACTTCTGTAATTGTAGCATCCTGAAGTCAATTTTAGTCTGTGAAGGAATATATCTACCTGCCTACCTATAGCAGTGGTGGATGTACTACATAAGCCAAAGACCACAATAAAATGCATGAAGAATACGACATATCCAAGCTCCCACGAGCTTCTGTTGGAGCCCCGCTATGAATATTATATACTATCTACGAATAAATACCAAAGGACTATAACAAATGCAAGCTCTTACGAGTCATTGTAGGAAACTCGTTGTACATATAGTACACTATCTACAAGCAAATATGAAAAAACTACAATGAATGCAAGCATCAACAAATATAAAGCAGGAGATTCGTTAGTGCACTATGATCCACCTACAGACAGCAACATGTAGTGCACGACAGTCTACCTGTATAAAGCAGTAAACAATTCAATTCAGAAACTGTTAGGCCATGCCACCGGATCCGCAACATTCATGCAAGCGGACAGAAGACGTATACGAGCTTCCAAGTAGATCATCACATTCAGATGATCAATGATAAACATTCAAAAATACCCCCGCACTGCATGGGCCCCGGCGAGCGTATTAAAGGTACACGTGACTTCTAGGGATGCTGCGCGGGCCAATAAATTTGAACTCGAACCTCCTGAGTACGTAGATAGGAGTCGACAACGTTCAGCAAATAATTACAAAACGCCCCCAAACATCCTCATGGGCCCCGGCGAGCGTGTTACAAGTACACACGTGACGTCTAGGGATGCTGCACGAGTCAATAAGTGAATTCAAGTTCGGACCCGATTATTCTATACGGATCAATAAGAGTCAACAGGGTTTGAACCATCAAACAAATATACTGTGGTGGTGGCCAGATTATTTATCTTAATACATTCATATTAGGCCTTCAAGGCTTATAATAATGATAATTCACTACAAAGGCATAAAGCCTACAAAATCCGATCCTCTGTTGACAACTCGATAAAGTCGATAAGGTTCAAAACATAAATATTTTCAAATGACCACAAACACCCCGATGATGGCCATGTTGAATTCATATCTCAATCGGAGGGGTTCCCATATATTTTCAAATACCTTCAAACTTCCATAAAATAAAATAAAAATAGAAATAATCCCTTATACCCCGATGATGGCCGTGTTGAATGTAGATCTCAATCGGAGGGGTTAATTCCAATATTCAAAGCTCCACCCAAATACCCACGAAAATAAAAAAAAAATCATCCACTTCAAAATATTTAAAATTGAAATAAATCCATCAACCACTTAAAGCAAAATTCATCCACCCTCCACAATAGTTTGTCGAGGTGGACAAATAGAAAAATACTTCAGTTCACATTGAGCTAAATGCCTAGCCGAAAATATTACTAGGATCTATTCTCAAATAATCTCCTGCTAGTGAGGACGTGGTACGTATCCTCTGATCGACAGTTTTGCTGCCAAATGGCACCGCAGGATAAACAGTTATGACCTGGGGCCCTCTGAACCGAGTGGTTTTGTCGCCAAATGGCACCACGAAATATTGGTTATGTTCAGAGCCAATACATTCCTTAATGACATCAAATCCTTGTGATATGAATTAATAGGATATGATCAATAGGGCACAAAGCCCTCTGCTAGCTAAGGTGGATCCAAATTTGTCCCCTTAGACAAATACCCACCTAAAGTCTACAAGGTCCCCTTGGACGAAGCAACCCATGACTGTTGACAAGGATCCTTCTATCAGGTTGGGTCGACTACCTCCTCTGACTAAGTAGAATAGGGACCACGATGGCCCGGGACGACGGAATCATAGGATCTTGATCGGGTCCATCATCCATTCCCCTACCATCTGCTTTAAGTATAAGATGGTGAAATTTCAACTTTTAAATATTAAACCTCCAAACTCTTCAATACCAATGCCCATTGTTGCTATTATATGCCATATACTTTGTACCTCTACGTATCTGATTGATGACTAGCCTTAATCGAAAGTTCTCTCTCGTGATTGAGAGGGGTAATTAACTATAGGGGCTTGCACCTATAGGAAATCAGGACTCAGATCATAAAGTCCTCACAAAATGAGGGCGAAATCTCTGGGTTGTGTCTTATCTACAAACTCATCTGCCTTCCAAAATTTACTCCGGATCTTAATTCCGTTAAAATTCCCCTTGAAGGAAAAAAGCACAGTGGGCAGAGGCCGGGGCCGAATTTTCAGAGCCTACATACTATAAGGAGTTTTTTACTTTGATAGTATTGGTATCACAAAATCAACTAATATTTCTTGGGATGAAAGAGACTGTAGTTTTGAAACCTTTTGAACAAACTTCATCTGTGAAGAATAATCTTGCAAGAATATCAAAATCTGTGGATCAATATATTTTTTCATCTCTGTCATAATAAAAGATATTCATGTCTCGATCTCAATAATAAACTCTTGTAAGATCTCATATGTCGGCTTGGGAACAATCTCAAGCACAACTTCAAGGTCAAGTCTCATCAAAAAGTTTTTGATTGGTGGAGATCATACAAATGACTAAACTTCTAAGATTAATATAGTTTCTTAAACCTTTGAGTTTGTGGAATTGGTGCATGATATTATCTCTTAACTTGTTGATATGACCTTGGATGGATAGGATGATCACGTAGAAAGTTTAAAAAATGATATATACAACTAATGATAACTCCTATTTAACTCAATGTTTTCATTCCATAATTCGCCAAAGTCGACTAATGAGTTGTATTAGGCGATTGAATAATAGCTTATTGGGTTTGTTCATATCCATTAGAAGATGATTTATGATTCCTATGGTATTTATGATATAAAGAAGAATAGACATGGTTGTAATAAACTCTCTGTAATGAAATGATAATATTTGTATTAATGTGATGATCCAAAATCATTATGATGCTTTTGAGATTTTTTAAACTTATGCGATTAATGAAATTTATGACAATTTATGATACTTTGACTTTCATATTTCACTAGATGAGTTTAAATGTGCCTAATATATCTTTCAAGCATAATCTTTGTGTTCTTCATAGACATGCATTCCTTTAGTGATCCCACGGTAATTCATAGAGGAATTCATCTACCTTTATGTACATGCAGAATACTTTTAATATTAATTTGAACCTTTGTAAAGCTACTGAATCTAAGTGATATTTTTTGTAAAATCCCATGACTTGGATGCAATGCATCACCATTCTTACTTTCCGTAAGAGTGGTTGATATTATGTCTTAACATCTCCCCACCACTAACAACAATGTTTTATCAAAAGAACTCACGCCTGCTATTTCATTACTGGGCTTCACAGATATTGGAACCAATACAACCTGGACAAGAGCTCCCATTGCCGCTTCACTTGGCTGAGGCTGGGCGAATACGATGGCATCCTGTCAGCACAAATTACTTGTGGAGTGAAGCACAATCGCTGCCGAACATACTCTCACAAGAAAATAGACTTGGGCCCTTCAGATCATTTGTGTGCTATCCTGCACATCCAACTAGTGATCCTTTTCGCTGCTGCATATCAGTCCAAGCTCTTAGCTTGTCTTCATTGGGTTCTGCAAGCCCATCACTGGCCGACACTTCAACTGTAAAGTCAAATTTCAATAGTAGTGGTAAAAGAACGCATAAAGCTGCTCCACCGAAGAAACATATTATACACCGTTTGAAACTTATAACACCTTTGTTACTAAAAAATTATCTTCCTGTGAACTTATCATTAATTTTAGAATCTGGTGGAGTTGCACATTCTCTTAAGATTTGCGAGGTTTGTTACAATCTTGTTTGGATTGTTATGTGGATTTGCAAGGTGATATGCTTAGACTTAATTTTTTTAAATAATACAATTCTCAGGGAAATTTTAATTCCTTTTTTGCGGTTGATTCTATGCATGAACTTGAGATCACATACCAAATGGAAGGTTATAGGCCTGTTATTTCCAAATTTCCTCGAGCAGAATCTTTCTCTGAGATTGCCAAGTTTTCTGGGTCCAAATACTTTTTACTTGAAAGAATATCCTTTTACCCTTACACCTCTTCTGGTAAACCAGCTTTCTTGTTGTTAATGATTTAATTTCCTCAACTTCACATACATTATAATAATGTTGCTCATCATCCTAGGTCCTTTATCTGTAACCCTTGAGAAGACACTTGATGCATCATGTGGTGCACGAGAAATCAGCCTTTCTGTTTCATATTTGCTGTATAATTGCACTGGTCTACTGCTTGCTATTGTAGATGGCAACCAAGGCCATAAAGGAGTTATTCATGTGATTCCCTCAAGTTATCAGTTAATGGATCAAGCACAGCTTGAGGATGAAAAACATGGCCTTGCATTTTTATCTTCTCAGTCCAACTCATTCCAGGGTTCTTTAAATTGCTGCTCCACATCTACAGGAGATAATGCAATGCAATCTTTACGAGCTTTTACAAGCAGGTAACTCTGGTTCCTCTTTATTATAGTTGTAGAATGTTTAGGGAAGAATAACTAAGTTCAGAGCTTAACTGTTTGCAGTTCAATGGTCGGGCTTAATGACATCAATCCAATTTACTCATCAAAGAAGGCTGGAGATGCTGCCAGGAGCACTGTGTATGGTTTCTCTAAAAGGGCTAAGCCTTATATGTATGCTCCTCTAGATCATATTCCTGCTTCAGACCTTTTGGTTAGATTGGCTGTATCCTCCAGTCATATTAGATCAGAAAGCATGCATATTCCAGCTTGGTCAACTCCATTTCCTCTAGTCCCCGCGAGTGGTTCTATTAATGTCACTATTCCAAAGCCAAATGCACCTAGTGCTTTCTTAATATCTGTTACATCCATAACTGTTTCTGAAAAATTATCTGGATGGACAAGGGCTATTACATTTCAGCCGAGGTAATATATTTTTATGAAAATATATGAATAAGATGCTAATATAATATAACTTATTTTCATGTTTTTTTAATTTTAATTTCTAGTGTTTTTCTTAGAACTAACAAATGGAATCTTATTACATGAAGGAATTCTACCTATTAGGATGAGGGCTGATTATGTAAGGGGTTGAGTGATATTTGGTTTGGGAAAATGTTAGATTGGTCCAGCCAATCCATACAAGAATAGCTCGCAGAGACACAGGCGGAACTCGTCCGCCTCCTCTGCATGACGCTCAAACTGCAGACTCCAGTAGTCGGAATAGGAAGGTTTTTGGAGGGATGTAAGAGAGAAATTTGAATGTAAGGACTGTTTACAGATTTCTTTTGGATTGTATGCATTAAATAGTTTGTTTTCCTAGGGTTAGAGCATCTTGAATTTGGCTGAAATTTAATCTCTCTCTTAGGCTTTGCTTGGGCTCTAGCGGCTTCTAGAGAGTTGGGAGAGTAGATCCTCCTCTAGAATAGAGGATCAATTGTATCTTTAGTATTTTCCGTTTCATTTTCATCAATTAATTCAAATTATCTACTTTTTCCTAGTTTTGTGTGGATTTTTGTTGAAAATTCTCGCTATTTTCCAAAGATTGATAGGAATTATTTGAGATCTACAAGTTTTTTCTACAAATTGGTATCAGAGTAGCTTTCCGGACTGTTTTTAGGGCTGTTTTTGTGCATTCTGCAGTAGAATTTTGTCCCAAAAAAAGGGTTTTTTTGTTGTTTTTTGGGTCGATATCTACATTTTTTATGCTAACAAAAATCTGGATATCGATGGCGGCAAAGGGGAGATCGGACAGTTGAAATAGAAAATTTTAGATCTCCATACTCAACTTTCAAAAGTCAAAAGTCAAATTTCAGCCATCTACTAAAAGATTGATGGAAAATTTTCCACCCTGGGAGAGATGTTGAAGAAGTTGCTCGAGGGCCAACCCAAAATGGCGTTGTCAGAAGCAAGGGAAGTCTCCGGCAACCGAGGAAAGGGAAGATTAGGAGGTGGAGATTCAAAAAGAATAGAGAATACCTCCCCTAGAGCCTCTTTCTAGGGAGGGGCTGGGAAGAGGGTATGGGGAGAGACAAGAGGAGGTAGGGAAAGAACGAATGGGTACTAAATTGGAGAGGAGAGGAGTGGGATTTGAAAGGGAAAAGGATAATTATAACCAAAGGGGGTTGAATTTGAAAAGGAAGGGGTTTGTTATGATCCAAGGGGTGCTGAATTTGAAAGGACACTTGGGGGGAACCACCCCCTTGGGGAACGGTAAATTATGAAGGGAATAGAGGGAACAGAGGCGATCTGAGGGTGAGGAAGTTGAAGATGCCAATTTTTTAGGGAGATGATGCCCAGTGGTGGATCTATAAGGTGGAAATGTATTTTACCGTCAACAGGTTGATGGATGGGGAGAGATTGACGTTAGCCAGGATGTGCTTGGAAGGGAAAGCTTTAGCATGGTACCAGTGGAGGGATACGAGGCGACCGATACAAACCTGGAGGGAGTTTAAGGATTGCTTGTTGGAACATTTGCAAACTAGCATGGGAGGGGACTTCTATGAGCAGTTTTTAGCTTTGATAGGAGGGGACAGTGGTGGAGTACCGTGAGAAATTTGAGTACTTGACCAGCTTCCGGAGGCTGTACTAGAGGGAAACTTTATGAAGGGACAAAACCAGAGATTCGTACAGTGGTTAGAGTTATGAGGCATTGTGACTTGGGAGAGGCTATGGAGCTAACTCGGTTTGTGGAGTCAGAGGCACCTGGAGAGAGGGACGGGAAGCAGCAGCTTAAGAGGCTCGTACAAGATGACCACCACCTTTTTGGCATCCAAGGAGCGAACACTTGATACTCTTCAGGAGACTTCGAAGGAGAAGACTGTAGGACAACTTCAAGAAGCTCACAGAAATGGAATTACTGGAGAAGAGGGCGAATGGGCTCTATTTTAGATGTGACGAAAGGTATACATCGGGGCATAGTTGTAAGGACCAAACTCTTCAGTTTCTCACCGTTTGTGATGACATGGAAATTGAGAAGAGTGTCGTCTTTGGGAGGGCGGTATTGTTAGACCCATCCATTGGACCTATCCAGCCGATCTTGTGGAGACAAAGGCGGAACTCGTCCGCCTCCTCTGCATGCCGCTCAAACCGAGGGCTCCAGTAGTCAGAATAGGAAGGTTCTTGGAGGGATGTAAGAGGGAAATTTGAATGTAGGGATTGTTTAGAGATTTCCTTTTGGATTATATGCATTAAATATTTTGTTTTCCTAGGGCTAGGTCATCTTGAATTTGGCTGAATTTTGAGTTATCTCTTAGGTTTTGTTTGGGCTCTAGCGGCGTCTAGAGAATTGGGAGAGATAGATCTCCTCTCGAATAGAGGATCAATTGTATCTTGGCATTTTTTCTTTCATCAAATAATACATATTATCTACTATATTTCTGGTTTTGTGTGGATTTTTGTGGAGAATTCTCGCTGTTTTCCAAAGATTTATAGGAATTACTTGAGATCGAGAAGTGTTTCCTATCAGAATACTGGTTCAAACGTGTGGTGATGCGTAAAATTTTTCCAAACCTCTCTTAAACTCTGAGTTTCAACTTAGTTGGGCTTTATCATTTAAGCTTATTAATCCTAACACTTGATGTGCATTTGACTAAAGTTTAAGTTCAATCCATCAGTTAATCCAATAATCAAATGTTTGTTAAGGAGCTCCAAGTTTAAGATTAATCCACCGGTTGATCCAATAATCAAATGTTCATTAAGGATCAGAGTTTGTGATTGTGACAACTGATATATGGATAACCATCATATACTTGCAGTAGAAATACTTCAGATTGCAATATCAACTTTTTGGCAAAATATATTAGATACTAATGCTTTGGAAAGCATGCAATGTACATAATATTCTAATAGTCTTTAGTAACTACGACATGTGAAGCGTAGGACGTTAGAAGACTTCTGACTCAAGAAATCGTGGAGGGGAATGATAGCATGCGTTTTCTAAGTTATATTAAACAGTGCTAGAGACTTGAATGGACAAAGGATGCCACCGTACAAAGGTATAACTACTTTTTAATACTTTGTTACAAATTGGTGCCTCAGCAATTTTGAGGAATTCAAGGTAACCGATGCTTTTAGTAGTTAGAGATCTGTTTTTTGCAGTCCGATCAGGTTCTTAATTGTGCTTCTTAGTAGTTGTTTAATGGTGTGTTGCAAGCATCTTTTCGTTGAAATTAAGCGGATTCTCCATTTTCAGATGCTCCTTTCCTTAAAATGTTCACTATTATAGTAGTTTTGATTAAATGAAAGACTAAAGCCAAACTGTTGGTCTTTTACTTTTAAGTCTTTTATCATCTTGTATTCCCATCTTTTCTATTGCATTAATTGTTTTTTTGTTTTTTTCTTTTTCTTTTTGGGTTCTTTAACTCATCAATAACCATGATCATTTTTCTTTTGATATGGTTAAGCATCTTTATCCTTAGTTATAACTGGTACTTGTAGCATTCCTTTGTGCGAAGTATTCAGAGCATGATTGTGAATGCAAAGGGAATTACCTGGAGTAAACTGTAGATTAAAATGTTTCATGCTTGCTATTTTAAGGAACACATTCAAACACAAGGTGGTTTGACCAAGTATTTCCCTATTTTGGTTGGGTTACATCAAGGATCAGCCTTAAGCCCATATCTTTTTGCTTTAGTCATGGATGTTCTCACTAGACTAGAGAGGGAGTTGAAGGTAAACTTGAATTATGGAGGTCAACCTTAGAGTCTAAAGGTTTTCGCTTTAGTAGATCTAAAACGGAATATTTGGAGTGTAATTTTAGTAGTAATAGACCTAGTGAGGGGATTGTGACTTTGGGCAATCAAGTCATTAATAAGAGTATACGTTTTAGATATCTTGGATCTATTATTCAGAGTGATGGTGAAATAGATGGGGATATTATTAGCAGAATTCAAGTTGGATGGTTGAAGTGGAGGAATGCATCGGGCTTGTTGTGTGATAGAAAAGTACCCCTCAAACTTAAGGGAAAATTCTATAAGATGGTAGTGAGGTCTGCAATGCTTTATGGTACCAAATGTTGGCCATTAAAACAGAAGCATAATACCAAGTTAAGTGTGGCAGAGATGAGGATGCTCAGGTGGATGAGTGGCTTTACCCTTAGAGATAGAATACGAAATGAGCATGTACATGAAAAGGTTGGAGTAGCTCCAGTAGAAGATAAGATTAGAGAGAGTCACCTTAGATGGTTTGGTCACATAAAACGGCGGCCTTCCGATGACCCGGTTAGGAGGGTAGAGGTATTAGATTTGACTTATGTTAAGAAAGGTAGAGGCAGACCTAAAAAGACTTAATTATAAAATATTAGGAATGACCTTTCTTTATTAGATTTAAATGAGAATTTGACTTTTAATATGACACAATGGAGAAAAAGGATTCATGTCACATAAAGGCTTGATGTTGTTGCTGTTGTTTTTGTTGTATTCGAATGCAATTATTTAGATGTTTATCAAAACCAAAAAAAAAAATTGTCCTTGATTTAAGCTAGAACATTTGATATTGATCTACCCTGTCTTAAGCCTAACTTATTGCTAGATACTATTTTTAGTTTCAGCTACTTTGTCCTTCAATATATGTGTCACTTCTTCCCTTGATGCTTTTGTTATGAACTTGTTTGAGTCTGATTATCCCTGAAGCCAGTGTGGGAATCCTATGAATTATACTGTGGAAAATAAAATCATCAGTTGAAACTTATCATGGTACATCCAAAAATGATTTAAATCATAAAGATAAATAACAAATATAATAATCTTTTAGTGTTTTTTATTCAGTAGGTCTTCTATTATGTTCAGATTATGACAATAGCAGACAAAGATTACCTGGCACTCGTGAATTGTTAACTTTTGTCGGATATAAATGGAACATTTTGAAGTATCTATAGTTCCCATTATGTAAATTGTTGAAAGTTGCAAACATATGGTAAAAATAATAGGTTCTACCTTTCTTGGTCATTGGTTATTTATCATTTGAAAATAATATCTTTCGGGCAAAGATTCTCTAAGATATGGATTAACTCATTAATTTACCTGAAGTGAACAAAATAATGTTTCTTCTTGGGTTTACTTACAGTTATATGATCGGTTCTTTTATTTTCTATAACCTACAATTGCTGACATGTTCTGTTGTCATTTGCAGATTTGTTATCTGTAATGCATGTACCAGAGATTTGTCTTACAAACAGAAAGGAACAAATAATGCTTATTCTTTACGTGTTGGTCAACACTCTCATCTTAATTGGTCTGATACATCAAGGTTTCTTCTTTTCCTTCCACATAAAGATAGGCAATTACTATTTGAATGTTATTGGTTTCTGTATCATAGTTTGAGTTGTTACTTCTTGTTATATCCTATTTCCAGTATCTGTGTACAAGAATTTTGGAACTTCTACACGTCTCTGCTAATTGCTGTGCATTACCACCAATCTAGCATAATTGATGTTATCATGAAGTATAATACTGTTGTTATCTTAAATTACAGTTCAATTTTTTTGTGCTTTTTTTCATTCGTCAACATTTTGTATAAAAAACCATGATATGAGTCAGCCTTTTATGGTACTTTCTGTGATTTTATGTTTTGCAATTTATATTTATAACATTGACTAAGTGTTGCAGAGAGTTGCTTGTATCTCTTCGGTTTAATGGAATGGGATGGCAATGGTCAGGGAGTTTCCTTCCAGATTGCCTTGGAGATGTTCAAGTAAAAATGCGCAACTATGTGTCCGGTGAATTAAACATGGTCCGAGTTGAAGTACAAAATGCTGATATGGCTTTGAATGATGAAAAATCAATTCCAAAGTCTAATGGAAGCTTTTCAACTCAGTTAATACTTCTTTCAGATGACAAGACTGGGTTTATTCCATACAGGATAGATAATTTCTCAATGGAGGTAATTTCTTAAGAATTTAGTACTTAAGCTATTTTGTTTTAGAAGATATTTTGGGTAATTAATAAAGTGTCATGTGGATCATCTATTTGTGAGTGATCTTGTAACCGGTAAAGTTGTCATTGCCAATAAATCAGAAATGAATTGCTAGATGTTACCCAAAGTGGTTTTGAGAAACTTAAAAAGTCCGTGGAATGTAAATTTCTTTCACTTGCTTCCTTGGTGGAAGAGTTTCCGCAACAACACCAGCTCCACCCAAAGTAGCTTTACATCTAATATTTTTGTGAGTTTTACTTCTTTAAAGCGATTCACTCACCAACACCACCACCACCAACATCAAGCCTTTATCCCACTATGTGGGTTCGGCTACATGAATCCTTTTTCTCCATTGTGTCCTATCAAAAGTCAAATTCTCGTTTAAATCTAATAAAGAAAGGTTATTCCTAATATTTTCTAACCAAGTCTTTCTAGGTCTACCCCTACTTTTCTTAACATAAGTCAAATCTAATACCTCTACTCTCCTAACTGGGTCATCGGAAGGCCGCCGCCGTTTTATGTGACCAAACCATCTAAGGCGACTCTCTCTAATCTTATCTTCTACTGGAGCTACTCCAACCTTTTCACGTATATGCTCATTCCGTATCCTATCTCTAAGGGTAAAGCCACTCATCCACCTAAGCATCCTCATCTCTGCCACACTTAACTTAGTATTATGCGGAATGCGTAGGACGGTGCTTTGGATAAATGAACAAATCAAAGTCCAAATGCACGGTCGTCCAAGCTAACAACAAATTGCAAGTGGGAGATGAAGTCCCGATGCACATGAAAGATGTACGAATTCCTACAACAGTCTCTACAATGCCTGTTGATTGAGATGGCAATACGGAGACCAATAAAGAAAGATCTGCACCCCTACAAGCAAATGCAATCATCAAACCACCTGAGATTGGTGAAA